CCGGGCAAAGAGCTCAACAAGTACGCCTCCCTAAAGGCAGTCGGTAAGGGCTCCTGCATGCGCCTTGCTCCGGTTTGCTTCTTTCACAACATTGCTTCTGCTCCTTCTAGATTACTTTCTTTCTGCCTCCTCCCCACCCACCCCCCAACCTCCTTCTGTCTTCCATTCTCCTCTCACCCTTCTTTCCTTCCTTCTGCTCATCTTTCTTTGTGGCAGATGACCTCCTCCCTCCCTCCCTTCCTGTCTCTCTCTCTGTTTCTCTCCTCTCTCTCCCTCTTTTCTTCAGTCCTCCTCTCTCTCTCTCTCTCTCTCTCTCTCTCTGAGTCTCTCTACCCGGGACCCCAGCTATTAAGGACCAGAGTCCCTCGGCTTCTCTTTCAGGCCCAGGTCAAGCCCCGTCTTTGGTGTGTGGGGAAAAACCGGGGGCAGGAGGAGGGAGGAGGGGCATGGCAGGGGCACACAAGAGAGCTGTTTCCTGGGGAGGGTCTGCATGCCACCCACACAGCCACTCTCTGCCCTCTTGAGTTCTCAGGGAGAAACTAGGCCTGAAATCCAGGTCTCAGCCTCAAAAAAAAAAACCCAAAAAAACCCGTGGTCTTTAGTGCATGACACCCTTCACTCCCAGTTTTACTTCATTCTGAGGAGATAGTTAACCCTGCACACCTGATCCCAAGTAGCTCCTGCTCTTTGTTATGTAAGTAGTTACTAGGAGGGGCAGCCTGGAACTTCTAGCGATCCAGTACTTACCAAGGAGGAGACACTATAGTCTTTTCATGACAGTAAGGAGTCTGGTGGCATAGTTGCCATACAGTGAGCTATGATCCTCAGGATCCTCAGTTTGAAACCACCAGCTGCTCCACAGGAGAAAGATGGGGCTTTCTGCACCTATAAACAGTTACAGTCTCAGAAACTCGCAAGGACAGTTCTACCTATGGGGTCCCTACCTATGGGGTCCCTATGAGTCAGCATCAACTCCATGGCAGTGAGTTTGTTTTTGTTTTTTGGTATATGGTATATTTGTTTTCCATGCCCTCCCCACTCAAAGTATTTTCATAAGCACTGCTATGTGCTTTTACATGTGACCTAGTGTCGTACATTTGTGGAAATCCCTGGTGAGGGGAGAGCATGATGAGCAAAAAATATATAACATCCAAATTATTGGGGTGAAAATACTGTTCCCTCTTCTTCTCACAGCATCCAAAGAGGAAGGCACACTATGAGCCCAGTTTCAGAGTGGGAAGCCGAGACTCAAAGAGGCTAACTTCATGGGCCCCAAATCAAGCAGCCTGTGAGTGACAGAGGGGAGCCTGGAAGCCTCTTGTCGTCACTCCAGAGTTGAGGCTTCTGCTGACACCCCACAGCCATAGCCAGTTCACTTTCCCTGCTCATCCACCTGGGTGTGACAGGGACCCACAGTGCCCCAGGCCCTGCCCTGGTGGTCTCCTCAGAGGAGTGCTGGAGGGTGGACACACACGGCAGCCCCAGTGAACCCAGTCATTCCTTGCTCCTGATGGGCCAAGGGGCCCCTAAGCCAGAGGACTCTGGACACATGTTCTTAGGATCACCTGGAAAGTGGTTAGAAGGTCCTATTGGTCCAGGCCCCACCTGAGCGGTTGGAATTGAATTGCCTTTGGATGAGGCCTAGACATAGGCATTTTTTTCAGAGTCTTCTAGATGGCTCCAAAGTGAAGCATTAGTTGAGAGCCACTGGTGGAAAACCGCTTGGCCAGGTCAACATGCAGGAAAACCAGCCTCGTCTCAAGTGCCCATCTGAACTTTCTTCTCCAGACCTTGCCTGTGCCCTCCTATCCCAGGCACACGGTTTTAAATGCAGGGAAAAGATGAACAGCAACACATTCTCCAGTTCAACATTTTCTACATGCATGAGTATAATTTAGTGGCATTGATTACACTCTTGGTGTTGTACAACTGTTTTAACTGTCCTTTTCCAAACGATTCCACCTCCATTCACATAACCTCATCAGGCCCCAAATGCCTCCTTTCCCTGTACCCCACCCCTGCATCATCATTATAGGTTTCTATGCATTTTATAGGTGTGGGATCATATGGTGTTAGCTCTTCGCTGAGCATGATGTTCAGGGTCCATGCAGGCTGTGGCGTGCACCAGGACATCTTTTCTCTCTGAGTGGATACCACACTGTGCTTCCCCATTCACCTGCTGAAGGCCATTTTCCCCTGGAAAGCGCTACAGCGAACGTTGATCAGCAGGTTTGCATTTCAGCCCTCACTCCTGGGTCAGGATTGGAATCCATGGGTCAGATGGGGGTCCCAGGGTCCCCTTATGCAGAAACCAGCAAACTGTGCCCTTGACAGTAACACCAGGGTCCATTCCCACCAGCAGTGAATGCGCGGCTCCTGTGTATTCTCAACACCAGGGGATGATTGCCTCTCCTCTCCTCCTCCCAGGAATCCTGTAATCATCACCATCTCACAAGAGAGTGTTTAGACCAGACTTTCTACTTAATATGCCCCTTCACTGAGCCTGCTTCTGGGGGGTGGGCTGCGGTGGGGGTGACTTCAAATCCTGGCTCAGCTACTTCCCATCTGTGTAGTTTTTTCATCTATAAAATAGACATACAGGTGCCCATGAGGGTACAGTGAGATGGCCCATAGAATGGAGGCAAAGAGGTATATGAGCCCCCCTCCTCCACGGCCTCACAGTCCTGTGACTCACATCTAGCGTGTGCGTCACAGTCTCCATTTAGAGCAGCGGTTCTCAATCTGTGGGGCGCGACCCCTTTGGGGGGTTGAAGGACCCTTTCAC